CAACTATGGCTTTCAAAACCGAGGTAAATCAGTTTTCCATTTGGGACCTTTTATCGTCGTTGGCATCATAAAGATTTGGCGAGTAATGATCTACGGGAACAGGAGCGGTTTTTCAATAGAGCTCCTCCGCCCACTTCATCAATCATTCAGGTAGGGGAGAGACTTTTAGGCGAGACCTATAAGACAGCGAATGTTCTTATATTAACCTAACATTCAAAAGAAATCAAAACACTATTATTTTTCACAGTACTATTGTTAAACAATTTTACTTCTTAGCATTAAAAAAATCATTTATAAATTGTTTAATGTGATTGCATTAATAAATCCACTTATTTTGTTTTGTTATTTATAAATTGTCACTAGTAAATTCAATTTCAAATTTCAAAAAAAACTGGTCAACTTAAATATACCTGACAATTTTCTTTTATTCAAAAATATATTAAAAATATTACACACTAAATATCAATTTCAACTTCAAAAAAATTGATAGGAGGCTAGCTGAAGTTAACCTGCTGACAAATCATAACAAAGAAAAGAAACATCCTGGGATAGAACAACACCTCCTAGAAGTAGGAAGGTCTCAGCGCGGATCAATTTAGTAGTCCGATGTGACGAAGTTAACTGCGCAGTTGATGAAAAATAAGAAAGATGTCATTACGTTCGGGGTACTAAGCTGCGCAGTGGTTGAAAATACGAAATATGTCATTACGTTTGGACTACTAAAGAATATTTATGGTAACCCGTGCAGAGGCCTATTCTTTTCTTGGAGGTGTTGGATAGAACCGACTCAGGAAAGTGCAAGAGAAGCTACTCTTGACCGGTAAGGACAGAACGCCAAACTTGTGGCTTTATGCGCCATATGGCGTGAAGAGAATTAAGTAAAGTAAGTCATATCAACAACCATCGATTATTTTTATTTTAGTAGACGGGATTTTTTTTTCTGAATATGCTTTCAATGCCACACGAAAATTTGCTGTGTGTTAAAATACAACATCATACAAATTTACTACTTTAATATGGGGCGAAGTTAAACGATATCATAGAAGGAATTCAGCATCTCTTTTCACAAACTGTAAGTGTTCCGGTAAGTGTTCACAGTAAGTGTTCCGCCTGGTTTCTTGTTCATACATGACTATACTTTTAATCTCGCTGCTCGTAACAAAAGTAAGAGTAAAAGGTGCATACTTTTGCTTGTACTTTAATCTCTTTTCTAGATTGTCCCGGCTTACATTGTAACAAGATTTAGTTCTTATCCGGGATTGACAGGTCTATGCATAGCTGGTATCTTCAGTGCTTCCCTGAGTACTATTTCCTCGTGCCTAAACTCTGCCTCAACCGTTACAGTCATAGATTATCTAATACCAATCTTCGGAAAAAGCAACATTTCTGATTCGAAAATCATTTTACTCGCAAAAATTGTGTGTAAGTATCTCAAGACTTCATTAATATTATACGAGTAGAAATAATCTATTTACGAGTAGAAAATAATCTATTTAAATAAATTCTGAATGCGATTGAACGTATTTAAGTGAATTTTGGTGCATTGCGATTAACTTTTAGCCAGAGGGCAGTACTCATGAGTTATGATGTGAATGCTCATATGCAGCTGTTGACTGCGATTAAATTGAACAGTCACCTTGTTTTAATCTCGGTGCTTGCGCTCCTTCCCGGTGCTTGTACTTTTCAACTTAATTCTTGGTGCTCAGAATTGAACGTGACTCGAGGCGTTGTGACTAGGAGCCTACATTGCATGGTGTTCTCGCTCTGAAAGCTGCTTTTATAATGGCAGGTATTCAAGTATATGCATATGATTCCTTACTTTGGGAAAAAAATAATTAATTAATTAATTAATTATATAGTTTATAGTAAATAATTTTACAAATATATGTACCGATTTTCCAGTAAATGTTAATTGTTTATTAAATATCAATGTAAATGCTGTTTAAATTTACCCCATTCCAAACCTTGTATTATTAGCTAACTAGTATATGAAGTGATAGATTATATGTAATTAGCTAGTATAACTAACATACGAGGCGCATCCAGAAAGTAAGTTTCCCAAATTTTTTTTTAAAAAAAGCAATGGCACTTTCTGGAATATATTTACTTAACATTATTGGCAACAAGTACAGCAATGTTTCAGCTATTTTTCAACATAGCCACCACCAGAATTGATACACCTGTCGTATCGGGGGATCAACTTTTGAATCCCTCTGTCGTAGAACTCTGCCGAATGTGAATGGAACCAGCGTGTCAGACGTCTACTGTTACTGTGAAACACTGTGGAAATTGGGACGGGCCAATCAAAACAAGACGCGTGGAATGTTTACTGTAGGTGTTGTGCTCCTCCATGACAATGCTCGCCCACATATGGCATGATGCACATTGGGTGTTTTGACGGAATTTGGCTGGGAGTTGTTTTATCATCCACCTTACAGCCCTGATCTTGCTCCCTGTGATTTACACGTTTCCTTGCACCTCAAGAAATTCCTGTCCTCCGGTGAGCGTTTTGAAAACGACGAAGAGCTGAAGACATTGGTTCCATTCACAGGCTGCTGAGTTCTACGACAGAGGGATATAAAAGTTGATCCCTCGATACGACAACTGTCTCAATTCTGGTAGTGACTATGTTGAAAAATAGCTGAAGCATTGCTGTACTTGTTGCCAATAAATAAATTCCTGAAAGTGTGAATTCTTTCTTTTTTTAAATTCGGGAAACTTACTTTCTGGATGCTCCTCGTATTAATACAGTTATAAATAACTAGTATAATTAATATATTAATAATACTAGTATATTGTACCGAACACAAAGTTCGTTTTCATTGAAGATTAATGAAACAGTCCTCACAGTAAGATGTTAAAAATCTATTAGCAGAAACATCTGAAAATACAGAAAATGTTCTTTTATAAAGTTAATTTCTTAACTAAATCAATAGATATACTGCTCAAAAGCATAGATACTTTTTGTTTATTTTTTATTTGAATACATTTTCTGCTTCTACAATTAATTTTTATTTAAAAGCTATTATCTATGGTGGACTATGCATTGGTTTGAGCTTTGCTTTTCAACAAGCAAACAGTATTCGTCATTTGACTCAAGTATTTAACACCTTACCTCAGGGTATTATTTGCGCAGTTTTTATGTTTGGAATGCTGACAAGAAAAGCTGGTGATAAAGTAAGTTTTATTCCCTAAGATTAACAAAATATGCTATTAATGGGAAAGTTTATATTTTTAAGCCACATCTATTACTTTATAGTTATTGACAGCTGTCGCTTTCTTTTAACTGTTACGTATTATGAAGTTTGATAATCCCCATCTTGACTATCTCTTAATTGACATTCAAATTGATTCTCTATATACGATATTTTATATATGCTAGAAAGTAGGCAATTTCTTACTTTTGTTTCAAATTTTTAATGTAAGTGTATTATGAATATCAGTAAGATATCAATACTAATTAAAACTGTGTTTAATTAGTGTTATTTAAGAGTTCTGTGCTAACGTCATTTATATAACCCAGATTTATTATTTGTTGATGTATTTTAATGCTACCGTATTTTAGTTTCGAGTTGGCAACTTAGCTCCAGAATTAGTTTGTATATGTTCTTCAAAGCAACTTGTCAGTCTTTTTTGTTAAGTAAGAAATAAATCAAATCTTTCTTTGTGCAAGAATGTAGAATGCGTCTTTTAAGAGAATTCATATTTGGTGAGTTAGGTATCTCCGGAATAAAATGGAAAGAACAGTTGCTAATATGAACACATTGCACTGAAAACTAACTGTTGTAACTGTGGGTGTTGCGCCATTTATGCATGAATGATAGTTTCGTATACTTGGTTCGAATACTATAGTTCAAGGTCACTAATTGAAGAGTGCGAGACACTGAAAATTCTTCGTATATTGGAAGAATGAAAGGAACATTGGAGTATCAACACTGAGATTCAAACCACTGTTTAGCTGGTCATGAGATAGACAGAGTAGCCCTCTCAGCTACACTATGTGCCCAACCGCCCGGAACAAAATAATTTCGTAAGTTAGGCCTTGTGAGCGAGAGGAAAATTCTGGTTGTTACTGAAATTGGTTGTCGAATGAAACTCTGGATTCCGTATTAATAAAAAAATCACTAAAGTTTTTTTCCTCACTCATAACAATTTGAAAATCATATTTTATATGGTTATTTGACTGTTCTTATTTAATATGGTGAAATAAAAATTAAAAAAGAATTGCTATTTAACCATTTTGCTGAGACATTTCCAACTGTGAAGTGAAAATCCTATGATTAGATCAAAAGTTATTCTGGATGATTTATTTCATTAATTTATTTATTGCACACAGTGCATTAGATATATTACATACATGCTATTATAATTTTGAGTGCATGTAATTTTTTAAAAAGAGTTATCTTGCTAGCTAGTGCCAATATCATTGTTTTCATATTAGGAATAACTTAAAAACAACTTGTAAAGAAAACATTGTTTTTAATGCTCACCATTCAAAGTTTGCAAAAGGTTATTTTCAGCACATTCTCGTTAAGCGTTTGGTCTTTCTATACTAATTTATAGTTTCTATACTTATTTATAGATATATATTACTAAGTATGTTATTAAAACATTTCTTTTCAGGCCAGGCAAAAAGTCTAATATCAAATATCTAAAAAGTTACAAAAGTATTAATATGTACATGACATGAAAAAACAAGACTGAGTTCATTACCCTAAAAGTTCTCTTGGTACCCAATTCTTTGAGAACTCAATGTGTACTTTAAGGGTCCCAGATCGGAGCAAGTCAAAATTCAATTCAATCGACGTAATTATCAAAACTTGTAAAACTAATTTTAAAAATCAATCTTCAAATAATGTAAATTAAGTATTCATTCATATTCAAATCAATTTGCATAGCATATAATTTAAGAAATGAGAATAAAGTTAAATGATTAAATTTCAAACAAATTTAAATATATAATCATGGAATTATATGAATTTATTTAATTTCAGTGTATTTCTTTTGCTGCAGTAGTGACTTATATAATAATGACATGGATAGCTTTAAGCTCTCTATATGCCGGATATGCCCAACCTACATTACCTCTAAGCAATAGTATGTGTCCTTCATCACGAAATGTAACAGTGTCTGAAAGTATTTTTAATGTATCCTCATCAATATTACCACCACGAAATACTGAAAAGTAAGTTTAAATATTCGCTTTAAAAGCTCAATATTTACAACATACATTTTTTTAATCTTCTAGAAATACATAACTCATGTTAACTTTCGAGTAAGAGCTGTGAAAAAAATGGTTAGGCTGCCATTGTTGAGGTTTAACTTCCGGTTGCGGCTTGAAGTCCACTCTGCTTCAAATCTATTTATATTACATCGTCTGGGAAATAAATTCGGTCTGTGTTTAATGATTACCACACTGTTGTCATCAGGCAGGTGATCTCCAAATTATGGAGTTTTAAAATCTTAAATTGCGTTGACAAACGACTGGTTCGAGAAACTTTTCTTTAATTCTGGATTAAACCGTAGCGGATAAAAAACGACAAAAGTTCTAGATTAAAAAATCATTTTTGAAGTTTTATTTTTTATCTTATAAAATGCTAATTCAAAAACTAATGTTTTACAGAAATTTGTGAATTAAATATTCTTCTTAAAGGTTAACATCAGACATAAAATAAAGGATTTCCCTTCCACCGTGTTTACCTGTGGATAATTAATTGAATGCGCGTGTTTGTTTCTTGTTTATTAAGCATTACTCATGAACGCTTTTTATTTAATTATTGTGGCGTAACTACCACTATGAATATTAAATGCCAATTCTCTAGTATATAAGACACGTTAACTTGATTCTATCGTGAGATACCTTTGGATAGTTGAAGGTTGGCATAGTCGATAATTTTTTCCCCTCATTGGTGACCCGAACGTAATAAGAACTTGCCAATATTGATGGATGATCCACATTAAGCAGTTGATTTGAGTAAAAATATACTGATCAAAGGGGAAAAAAATCCGGTGAAGTAAATAAAGTCTCCCTTTCAATAAACAAAAAAAAAATGAAGAAAAAAAATTAAATTAGCGAAATGCTATAAAAACAAGAAAAAAAATGATGAAAAAAAAATAATGAGCGAAATGCTGTGAAGAAAAAATATAATGAGCAAAAATTTATATAAATAAATAAACAGCATAAATCAACTAGTGGTAATCATTCATCGAATTCTATCTCAGATAAAATTCTGGAAGGGGAGTAATGCGGGTAACTACCACTATAAATATTAAATACCAATTCTCTAGTATATAAGACACGTTAACTTGATTCTATCTTGAGGTACCTTTTGATAAATGAATTTTGACGTAGTCAATAATTAATTTCCCTCTAGACTCAAAAAAAAAATCTGCCAGCTTAAAAACTTTAAAAATACTTACAACGCTATGGTTTGAAATATGGTAATAAAGTTTATTAGAATATATTCAATGTATATTTTTTTGAAAAAAAGTATACTAAATATGAATTATATACGGCTAAGAAAATTGAGTTCATTTGAATTAATATAACCCGGAGAACGATATCGAAAGAGAGAAGAGTTAAACATACTCTTTATTGTTTTTATTCAATTTCTAAAAAAAAAATGATATTTACTCTGAGTAAAATCACTAAAATCTTGTTTTATCTTTTAAAAAATATAAACCTCAAGATATTCAGCCAATAATAATTGAAAAGTTTTAGTCAGCAGTATTCTAATTTTAAATAATATGTTACTAATAAAATAATGTCAATATAATTCTACAATCAGCATTTTCCAGAAGTGCTATTTAGAACTGTATGTTTTCCGGATTTCAGAATTTCAAAAATATTTTTGTCCTCGTATATTATATGTTAAGATATGTTTTCACGAAAAAAAGGTTTTTAAAAAAATGTACAGTATAAAAACGATTTTTCGAAATTAATAGTCTCTTACTTAATTTCGTAGTTTTAAACTTTTGAGAGAAAAAAATCTGGAAAATTTATAGTACAACGAGCTATTTCTCTCAATCTTACAAAGCAAAATGTCTTATTTCTAACATTTTCCAAAGTATTGTCGAACTATAATTTTATTATTAAAAGTTTATTAAAAAAATTGCAAAAAAGAGAAGAAGAAAAAACAAAATTCTGACTTAATCAAATTTGGTGAGAGGACTTTTAAATGTATCATTTATCACTCTGAAAGCATTGTCCTTCTTATCATTTAAAACTTATACTAGGAGGCTTCGCCCCCTGCTCGCTGGCGCTCGCCAACCCTCGGAACTGCTTTCGCAGTTCATTTCGGATTGCTTTACAATCCGATGCTCGCTTTACTCGCTCATTGGATACGTTCTTAACGTCTAGCTTTTGTATACTTTTTTGAACACTGAAGTTCCGAAAACTTTTCACTGTAGAAAATTCTTAACCAGTGCATTTCAATATTAATTTGAAATTGCTAACAGTTCACATATTTTTCTTAATCACACTATTCTAAATTTCAGTTGTTGTGAAAAGTGACTGTTGTAAGTTTTGTTTTAAAGTCTTTCCCACCAGAGGGCTAAAACCATGTGTTGTAAAACAATATGAAATAGTACTGAACGCCGGATGTAATATAGATTAGCCATATGATGCTCACTACGTGCTCTTGCTCGCCGAAGCCTATCATTAAAAATGAAAACTGTTGCCAACGCGAGAAAAGAAATATCATCGTTTTTATTGATACATACGTATTAGCGTTTTATATAAAATAGATTAGTGAAATATTAAATAATTAGGTTTCAATAGAAATATAATAAAAATAGTAATAAATGAATATGTATTTCAGGGATCACTTTGTACTGTACAAAATGACATTTATGTGGTATTCTTTTATTGGATTCCTTCTGAATATTTTACTCACAACTTTTGCTGTTTTAATTACGGGTGGTAAGTATGTATAACTTGCTTTCATAAGCAATGAAATATTTTCGTTAAAACAATTTTAAGCATAAATACGTTTAAACTTCTAGCCAATTCTCAGATTTTAATCAACTGTGATAATTCTTAAGCATAATTTGCTGCTAGTAAAGGACTTTAATTTAAAATGGATCAAAGTTTAAGAATATATTTCAAATATCTTAAAATCATTTTTCAGTCTAAACATTTAATAGAATGGAAACGGATATTTTGCATCTAAAGCCTACGTAATTATGTTAATTATGAATGAGTTATTTAGTATCTTTAGATAAATAAAGTAAAATATAGTTTACTAAATATACATAGTAAAATATAGCTTAGGTTTTCATATTAAAATGTGCCAAAAGTAATTTGTGATGTTCCGTGTAGCTCATAACGGGTTTGGTGAGAAATTGTTTTAACTGTAAGGGACCTAAGTTTACAGTCAAAATAATACTTTTTTTATTATCAAAAGTAATTACCTACCTACATACTTATTTCTTTTATGTGGAACCAAAAATGCAGATATTTCTCCTCCGAAATTGGCAACACTATAGTCAATCACAATAATTCCCTTAGTTAGGTTCAAATTGTCAATTAATTATGTCAGCTTAATTATTACTTAAGACAATTGTCTTAAGTAATAATTAAGTAGTGTAAAGTTATGTGTCATAAATAATTATGCGTTAAGTATTTGCTTATATTTCTTACTAGCCGCCTAAGGCGGCCAGCTGTCCGCCACGCTGAAGGTTTTCANATTATTAACTGTTAACTCTGCAAAAAATAGCCAATAGAAAAATACGTTATCGTAAATTTTCATGGTCAGCCTTATTTTTAAATAAAATTTTGTGAAATTTTCGTTTGTTGCAAGATATTTCACATAAGAACTCGTACCCCCGCTGAACTGTTCACGTACCCCTGGGGGTACGTGTACCACACTTTGGGAAACACTGACCTACATACTTATTTCTTTTATGTGGAACCAAAAATGTAGATATTTCTCCTCCGAAATTGGCAATACTATAGTCAGTAACAATAATTCATTTAATTAGGTTCAAATTGTCAATTAATTATGTTAGCTTAATTATTACTTAAGACAATTGTCTTAAGTAATAATTAATTAGTGTAAAGTTATATGTCATAAATAACTATGCGTTAAGTATTTGTTTATATTTGTTATGTAGGTTGTCCTAAGTAATAATAAATTCAGTTTTGTTGAATAGTTAGTTATACGTCAAGCCTTAACATAAGGTCTGGTTTCTTTTTTTTATTAACACCAAATGCCTTTTGCTACACAAAACACATTTTACCCGAGTTTTGCAGAATTTTGATCTGTGTCCGATTTTCAAACATAGAAAGCAACACTTCTTATTACGTAAAATTTCTTACTTTTGTTCCCAATTCAGTGCTTCAGTTCTGCTGACGCCCAGATAAGGCGCTAGTTCTAAGAAACCAGGTCTTGAGCTAACAAACCAGTATTTTGTTGGCGTCAGCGTGACGTTGACGTCCCGCTGACGCCCAGATAAGGCGCTTGTCCTAAAGGTCTGGTTTCTTAAGGCCTGGTTTCTTAGAACTAGCGCCTTATCTGGGCGTCAGCGGAAAGTTGACGTAGAGCTGACGTCTAAAAAATACTTTTTTGTTAGCTCAGCGTGAGCAGTCGGTTCAACGCAGACAGTATCTCTCATTGCGCATGCGTTAATAACGTAAACAAATATTTATTTTGAATTTGNACTAATCCAAATTTTTAAAAAAGAAAAAAAATACTTCTTCATTGTGTCAAAACACAATTATGTGCCGAGTTTCGTGCCTGGGCGAGGCTTCTGGGGCGATATATTGTGATTACAGACACACACACACACAGCCGCTTTTATTATTATGTATAGATGTATAGATGTAGGTTGTCCTAAGTAATAATAAATTCAATTTTGTTGAATAGTTAGTTATACGTCAAGCATTTACTTAGAAAGACTTTGTATTTTTATGGAAATAGAATCTTAGATACGAAGAATTTATTTGAATTAATTTTTTATCCCATCTAAAATGGCTGTAGATATGGCGATGCATGCTGTTATGTCAATTATGGGTGATAAAACTTGAATTTTTCAAGCGATAGCAGTTACATTATATTACTCAAGTTATGGATATATAGGTGAGTGAGGAGGTAGTATTACAGCTCGGAAAGGGACTTAGGAATGAGTTTTCTATCTTATCTCATGACAGAGGAGGAAATAACTTTAATATTTCCGCTGCCTATTATACTGAAATATTACGAACTTATGGTGGTTCGTGTAATTTAATGGACTCCGGACATATTTTAAATTATTACTGAAATTTCATACATAGATAACTTTGACAATGTCACGTATATTGTTTAAAAATAATTAAAATGGAAATCAAGGTACATCTGCGCGGGTAAAATGGTGTCCGACAGCTAGTAAAATTTAAAATCTAAGCATTTTATCTTATAAGTTCTTTTGTTTAACAAGAAAAGTACACTAAGTGCCAGTTCCGTATTTTTATATGGGGGGTACCATTAGAAAGGTCTTGTATTGGGGAGAAATAATGCTCAGGAACTACCCGTCAGCAGTTAATGGTTTTCGAGATAATCGCAAAGAAAAAAAAGGGCAAATGCAAAGGCGAAAGAATTGTCTCATAAGATCCATCTCTTGTCCAGGCGCTGGCTATAATTGCGATGAAATTGTCATACGTTCAAAGAAGTGTAAGAGTAGAAATTTGCATACCATGAAGTATATTGTAATGGCAAATAATTGTTAATAGTAATAACAAACAAAATGCATACCAAATTAAGATAAAACCACTAACTGTGATGGTACGTATCCAAATAATTCCGTATTTCTTATCAGTGAATTCTGAAACGCGTAATAGTGCATTTCATCAAAGGTGGGAGAAGATATTGATCAGAATACACATTTCAAGTATATTTTTAGTCTACTTTTTTACAACTTTTACTTTTACGCCTACTTTTTTAGTGGACTGCGTTAATAGATATCCTGTTTCGTTTATTTTATTCAGCAAAGTTTTGAAAGAAGTAGAGGTTCAATAGCTGAAGGTATTCTGTTCTCCTGGGGGAAGATTAACAGTTTGTACATTCAATTCCATTTCAGAAATCCATAAGTTTTCATCTGTTTGACCTCTCCATCTATCCAATGTAATGCCTATTCAGTACCTTTCCAGTAAAAATATCTTATTACCACCGATGCACTCTTTTAATTTGTGCAAGTAGTTTCTATTTATAAGTTTTGTTTTTTTCCTTGACTGGGAACATGCAATTTGCATGTTTGGGTATAACATTTCACGCAAATTTGTCTTACCTTTAGGACCAACTGATCCAACACAATCAGTAAATTATGTACCAATTTGCCATCTGCTTTAGGCTTATTTGTTTGTTAGAAGAGTGCATCTTTTCGTTTTTACAACTAATCTATGTTGCAACGTTTCTATTCCTTTTTATATCTTGTGTTCTTTTTTGATATAATCTTCAACTGAAAACCACTTTAATCTGTATTAAGGAGGCAGAAAAGTTGTACACATTCTGCTCAATTATTAATTTTAAGTTTCCCTGAAATTTCCGTACCACTGACTCACGAAATATCCGAGAAAATAAATTCAGTTCTGTTGCTAAATGCGTCAACTTGCGACTTGTAATTCATTGGTCAGTTATGAAATCCATCGTAAAATATGTAGTGGCTTGGATATCATAAAGATTATTCTTAAACGCTTGATCCAAAGCCCATCTTTTCAAATCTCTGTCATACACAGTAAATTGCATGCGATGCAGAAGAAATTGTGACCTCCTGTGACTTTTTTTTTTGATAATTTCTACTATGTGTGACATGCTGTTATTATTTTTCAGGTTGGAAAAAGAATGTAATACCTGCCAATTCCAAATACTTAAGCCCAATTACACGATTCTGGATGGACAAAAATGATTGCTCTAATCTGGAATTAAAATAGAACTTTTCCCTAACACAATGCATACCTTTAAAGGAAAAGATCCCGTTATTATGGTCATCAGGACACTTCCAATTCGAGTAAAATTAATATTGAAAGTCTTTTAGTTGCTTTCTAAAGAAGAACTTTTTAAATTAGAGCTTAGCACTCATTATTTTTTGTATCTATTTATGTAAAAATATTTGAACAGAAAAAGTAATTAAGCCACATTCAGAGTGCTTAAATTCGCGTTTGTTACTACAGTAATTAAACATGCATACCTGAAGTAACAAGCAGTTAAATAATAAAATAAGATGGGTGATTTTCCAAAATTTCACGTTTTTAAATCGCATATTCATAAAAGCTTGAGTGTTTTGAAAATTGTGAAGAAATCAGCATTTGTTTTTTACTACAGGCGTGTGGTAATTTTTATGTATATGACCTAATGTTAAGCTCTAAAAATTTTCTATTAACAGTCTTCACATTATTACGTGCATTATTTGCACACATTTGCATTATTACTTCACATCATAATATGCATTATTTAAAAATAAGTATTTTCAAGTATAATAAAACTGTTGGAGAATGATGGCAATATTTTTTACCCACCTCACTTTTGAGCTTCAAAACTATTAGAACATCGGGTGAATCATATCTTCAAAGTTCTCAATCAATCTAAAGGAAAAGACTGTAAATTCCATATTTTCCCCTAAAATTATGAAAAACTCCCTAGGCCAAGGGCATAACAGCTAACCTTGGGACAAATTTACAATTGATAAACCTTAAAGAGTTAAATAATTATAACGGATACAAGAATTATTATTTTACACCTTCAAATATAAGTATGCAAATACTGCTTTAATTATTCAAATGTAAGTGTAAAACTTTTAAATAAATTAAATGAGTTTAAGAAAAGGTTTCAAACACGCCAGTAGAATGATTTTATAGTCATTTTAAAAATTTTTATGGAAATGGTTCATTTTACATATTAAGAAATATTTGTTATGAAACTGCATTAGAAAATTATTCCTACAAAGTATATAAAATAATATGCAACAATAGTAATGGTAAATTAATAATAATATGAGTAATAGTAAAATAGTAGTAATAGTGAATAATAGTAAATTTCTGTCTCAAGTTGATCTTGTGATATTTTATATGGACATGATATTGTTAGTTTTTTGGAGAACTACCTAAATAAAGATAAAATGACAAAAGAAATGACTAGATAAGAGCTGTTTAAATTTCTTAGTCTTGTATCTATAGCTGAAATTTTTGAAGCTAAATTTGTTTTTGCTGAATATAAATGACTTAAATAAAATAAAATGAAACAAATTTTTCCTGGACAACTTGCTTTTATATCTTTTTGTTAAAAATGCAATAAAAATAAAGAGTTTTTTTAAACCAATAAATGTGTTGTTTATTATTTTATTGCAGAGTTTATTTATTCGAAGGAGATAAAATTAAATAATCCATTCGATAGAAATTCTCTATTTCCTGCGCATTTTGTATTTTATAAATTAAAACCATATCCAACATGCATTTTGAATGAAAAAGCGCCTTTTTCACATTTTAAGGTAGTTAATTGATTAACATAATTTCTTTTAACACGCTATCAATGAAGCTGTTAAGTCCTTGCTATTCAGTCTAAAAATATTGAGTATATTTCCATAAATCAATGTCTGTATACATGGGCGGATAGTGAATTAGTGGGGCCCTGGGCTGAAACTACTTAGGGGCCCTAATAGCAATTTTGTCAAAAAACTGTTTTCTATAGTGATGTAGAAAAAAGTAGGACAATAAAAAAAATTTATTTATTTATTTTTATTTATATACAAACAGCAATTGTACAACATTATTGCAAAAGAAATTGACAGGTTATGTGTAGTTTTATTATATAAATTATAAAGCAACCTTTCTGCATTTTTGTGCTGCAAATTCCTTTATTTGCTCATTACATTGTAAGTCCTTCGTTAAATCACAATTTATGGAAAGAACTGATAAATGGTTTAGTCGATGGTTCGACATTGTTGTCCTATACTTGTTTTCTATATTTGTTTCCTATATTTGTATGACATCCTGGAGAAAGAGTCCTCAGCTTCGCAGCTAGTGATTGGCAACGTTAAAAAAATCTTTAAGATAGTATAGCAATTTGGGAAAACATCAATAAGTTTCTTTTCATAAATGAGCATAAAAATTTCACTGCAAGAGGTGTAAGACTCTGGCTTAGACTGAAGTAAATAAGATTTTAACTGAATGCACTCATTCACTAAATGCTCGTCTACGTCATCTGGATAATAATCAACAATATTACGTACACTTTCCAGATCTATGTGTTCCATATTTTTGTCTTGCAAATCCATTAAAAATTTGAATTTCTTGCTATACATCTCATAGACTTGGCTCCTTTTATTTAAATCCATAATTAGCTTATCTAACGCAACGTTTAGCGTGTCTCTTTTAAATTTTACTGCCCCGTGTACTGAGAATTTATCTGTAGACTTATCTTAAAATTTTGGAGTAATGCGTCTCTTGTTTATGTCATTGTAGTTCATTCCCACACTAGTGCTTAATTTTTTAGCTTTTTCTTCGTATTCCTTTAGCTTCTGATCTGATTGGTACCTTACTGCTCACGAAGTCTTTTAATGACACAATTAACTTGTTACCTTCACAAATATCTAAACCAGGGCTCTGTATTTTTTTATTAACTAAATTAAATCTCCCCAAAATTTCTTCCCAAAAAATAATTAAAATTGCACTATCGAGTTTCGCCATTTTATTGAATAAATTTCGTGCCTCTTTCCGGAAATCAACTTTCTCATCCTCATTTTAGCTGAAACTTTCGAAAATTTTCATACTGTCATCATAATTATTTTTCAAAGCTTTGACAGCATCATAGTGACAAGACCATCTGGTCTGGCTTAAACTTTTTAACGTAAATTTGAGTTTTGTTTCACGATTTAACAGTTCCCACCTATGGGTTGCAGTAGAAAAGAAAACGTATAGTTTTTGCACTACACTAATGAGTGCATTACAATAATGTGTGCATATTTTTTGCACTACAATCATGATTGTCACAATAATGAGTGCAGTAATTCACAAATTATCATTAAAAATTGATTAAAAAGATCATTTAGTATTAAAAAAATACATTAAAAACAAAAAAAAACATGATTTATAATTCTTTTTACTTACCAACTAAGAGCAGGAAATCTTTTCTTATACTGATTATGTACTTTCAATTATAAGTAAAATAAGAGAAAGGTCTTTATAACTTTTGAGTTATCATTTATTAGTAAACTAAACAAGTTTGTCACTTTGACGACGAGAACAAAAGTGCGGAGAAAAAACCAAAATTACGTCGGGCGTTAAGCGGCGCGGCGGGAAGTCTCCCGTAATAGACGCGAAAAAATACACTGACCAAGTTTTTTTTTAATATTAGATATTTTTTTTTAATTCAAAATATCACCTATTTTTTTCAGTGGGGACTGGGGCCCTTTGTATCCACGGGGCCCTGGGCTGCAGCCCAAAGAGCCCATAAATAGATCCACCCCTGTCTGTATAAACTAAAACTCAGAAGAAGAATAACAGTTCAAATTTAGGGGGGAGTGCATAATTGTTAATTCCAATTAAAATAGTTCATAAAACAGACATAAAATAATTACTTCTAGTAATGACTTAAAATGAATATGTGTTTATTTGTAAGAGAAATTTTTGCATTTATTTAAATACATGAGAAATAATGTCCTAAAGTACTTACTTTTCTGCAAGCAAGGCCGGAAATTAAACAAAACTGCCACTAGTTATTATCTCCAAACATATTAGTGTATAAATACCTGGTATTAGGCACAAAAAAGTAAGCAAAGCCTGATATTAATACTGACACTAGTATTGTCTTCAAATATGTTAGTGCATCAGTACCTGCTGTTATTAAAGAACAGAGGGGAAATATAATTATATAAAAGTTTCCATATTAAAATGTGCAAATAGTATAATTATTTAAATTAAGTTCCATGTTCCTAAAGAAACTCAATACAAAAAAACATAGTCTCTGTAGGAGTTCATTTTACAGCAAATTCAATCGCAACTGAATGAATGTAAAAAATAATAAAAACGCGAGGAGAAGATCTCTCTGTCTTTGCCAGGGTAAATTTCTGGTAACCTGCTGAACAAGCTAACGCACCAGTCGATCTCTATTTCATCACGCAGAGTGAAAGTTTTAAAGTTTTTTTTAAAAAAAATATGCTAGAAAACTGATTTTGAGACAAAACGAAGGAGATAAAAGCGTCTCTTTAAATTAATATAGAATACTTTCACTGTGTAGTTATCTATAAAATTTGAAAAGTATAGAAAATGCATTTTACTGTAATAATTATTTTTAACCTCTTAAAGCAGGAATGTTTTTTGGATACCGGTAAAAAATTATACAGTTCTATTTGATTCGGTATAATTTTTTTTTTTTTTGGAAATTTCTGTTGTGGGGGTATCTTGGGAGAGGGGGTTGGTGTAAAAGTTATAAAAAGTACTGTACAAACAAAGTTTAAACAATTTGAGTATAAGTTAATTTGGAGTTTAAAATTTTTAAAATCAAATTACATTAACTCAAGATATCATCTCTTTCATAGCTGAAACTTTCTGATAAATTGGCATATTCAAAATCGTTAGGTCCCGCAGTGGACTGATCGTTAAGACACGGTTCCCAGCAGATCACCGAAGTCAAGCATCACTGGCTGCGGTCAGTGTGCGGGTGGGTGACCACTTGGATCAGTCTGCGTAGGGACCGAGGGTGTGCGGTATTGGTCCTCGTTAAACTGTGCTACCGTAAAGTGCTCGACTTCGCGCGCAGGTCGTCGGGCTACCGAAGCGGGGGTGCCACCCCCCTCCGCGGAGGATCAAAATTGTGATGGCATGTCTTCGGATCATCCTCAGGGATGTTTCCCAGACCGTCGCCAATAGCATATTGTGCAGCTCTAGTGCGACGTAAACTAACAGCACTATCAAAATCGTCAGAGTCACTCATTATCGATGACTTTTTCAAATAAAGGTACATAAACATCAAGTAAAAATTAATTTATTGTTAACTGTTTACTTTTATGATATTTAACTCAATAAAAATGGATATGTTACCTTTTCCACCCCCAAACAACTGCTTTGTAACGAAGAATTTCTAACAAACTTTCAACTAATCATCAGAATGCACCGCGTGGTTTACACAAGAAAAATGCTGCATAGTGGTGTCATCTATGGTAAATAAATTTTATTATAATCTAGCCTTCCTATTTTTGTAAGAGCAGAACACAGACGGGCATCAGAAATAAACTAACGTAAGATACAAGATTGCCCGTGTGAGACATGGGCATGTTCGAATTTGCAGGTAACATTCGCCCGTGTCACACTCAAGCAAATGCGCTAAGAGGGTTAAAGTATTTTACCAATTTTTTCTTCTTTTTACAATATTGTGCATTAAGAAACCAAAATAATTTCTGAAGTGTATCACATGCATTTTAATATTATACGCAAAAATCAATTAATTTTATTTGAAATTAATTTTATTTTTTTCCGAACATGTTACAAGCAAATTATGCATTCTATAGAATATTCATTCTATAGAATATTTATGATATATAGATTCATTATATATAAAGCCCAAAACTATCCGGTAATGTAAGAAACCATTAATATTATATACATTTCTTAGGCATTCTATAGGATGCTGAATGAGAAACTAGCAAAGTATGAAATATATCTCTGATTCGTTTCGAATGTAATAAAATGTAATTCAAAATGTCTTCAAACTTACCATGTTGAAACAAGTAGGTTAATTTAAATTTCTCAATACTTATATAAAAATTTTGTTTCCCTTAATATGAGCATGAATTTTGTTTCAGTTAAAATTTAATTTTTCTTTGTGTGTTTCAAATAATTTTTTTAATTTCAGTCTTATTATTTCTTCAGAGTAACATCTGCTTTTTTGAGGAAGGAAAGTCATTTATTTGTGTAATATCCTTATAAGGAAAGTTTTTTTCCCTTTACCTAAATGGAATTTGTCATTCTGTAGAATACCTAAGAATTATATACAATGCCTAGTGAAAAAGTGTAATAGTTCCTATCTTTCATGCTTTACTTAAAAACTTTCGGCATTGTATACAATACTTAATTACTATTTCTTAATTTGCAGGTAACGTATATATTCTTTTAATCGCCTTTCAAAAGCACAACATATTTTTTTTCCTGCAATAAAAAAAAAACAGAAAAAAGTTAACTTTCAATTGAACATAAATTATGGCATTTTCTCCCACTTGTTATCATTGTAAACGACGTTTAATAAGAATAAGACAGTAAAAAACACAAGAAATGTTATCTTTTTACGAAGATTAATTGCCCAGAAAATAACTTAATATCTTTTTAGCGTTTCATAATCAGAAGATTCTTTTCTCCGCATTTAATAAGCTATAGCAAATCGCAGACGTTTGTAATCAGACACAGAAATCAAAATGTTTAAAAAGTACAGTCTTGGTGTTGCCGATTATGTTATTATTTCTTTGACACTTTTGTTATCGATTGGGATAGGGTTATGTGCAAGGTATTTCAAAGGTCAACAGAAAATACCGTCGGATTATTTGCTGGCAGGAAAAAATATGCCAAAATTTCCTGTCATTTTTTCTATCATTGTTACTCTTACATCTACGTCTTCGTTTCTTTCATCACCAGCTGAAGTTTACAAATATGGCATCGCTATTTCCATTGCTAATTTTATGATGCCCATAGGAATGTTTATATCATCAAGCGTTATTATACCAGTGTATTTCCAATGCGAAGTCTCAAGCATAACTGAGGTAAGAAATTGAAATTCATTTAATGAAGTTATTATTTTTTAACTGTTAACAGGAAATAAAGTAGAGGGGCAATATAATTATAAACCTCACAGTCTGGAAAAAAATTGTATGTAGTTATCATGAGTTTAATTTTTAGTCAGTTTTAAGAATTCAGCTGGTCAAGTCTTCTGAAAAGTAGCTACCCTGTAATGGGATGTGTCTGTGTATTATGGGCGTAACTTAGTGAATATTTCTCAAAACTTATAAAGTACTTCAAAGTACATCTGATAAAGTACTTAAAATATCTATAACGATATTATGGTACTATAATATCGTTTTTGGAGAAAAAAATATCACATCTGGAAAAAAAGGGACTTACAAATAACTTGCTTCTGATCAATTCTACTGTCAACTAGGAAGTAACTTTCAAATTATTATTTGATAATAATTTATTTAAAACTTATTATCACTTTTGTAATATTATATTGATACAATATCGGTAAATATTTACTGTAAACGGGTTATCATTTTCAACTTAAGTCCAAAAATATTGATGCAGTCTAATGTATTTACTGCACGCAATATAGTTTATGTAGACGTTATAATGAAAAATTTTATTTCTAAAGTAGTGAAGTTTATTCCTAAAATATTGCTACACTGCTAAACATTTACGCACATTAGTACTGTTGCACATATTAGTAACTTGTGCATGCTTTTGTTAGTGCGTTGATTATTCCTAAGAGATTTCATACTAAGAGACTTCAAAAAAGCAACTTTATCTCGAATTTTTAGGATTAGAGGTGCTTTTTTTATGATAGCGTTTCATATAATCTTTGAACTCAGTTATTTCGCTTTAGTTCATGAATTTGACGAGGAATTTTTGAATTAAAATTTTTATTTTTTTTAGAAATGTATTACCATAACATTCCTTTCGACTTATATAAAAAAATAAAATAGAAAAAAGTCTATTAATTAATTTTGAAATGTGTACGTATTTACCAAAAAATCTGAAAGAGGCATAATATTATTTTTCTTGCTTCTATGATTGAATTTGTAGTACCTTGTGCATCCTTTTATCAGTGTATTGACGTATTCGTTCCAAAGAGATTTCGGAAAAGCAACTTTATCGCCTATTTTGAGAATTCATGACAGCGTTTCATATAACGAATGGAATTGAAAGTTCATAAATTTAAAATTTTGTTAAAATTTCTTCTATTTTTTCTCACAAAAATTCATGGCTAAATGTTGAACCATAATATAGGTCAATCGAACAATAATATAATTAAAACTTGAAGCTAACTTAATGGCGTTTTAAAATGAATCATACTTCCATTAATTTTGAACAAGATTATCGAGTAATCTAGTTCAAGTACAGCAATACGGTACAAATTAGCTAATAATAACTGTATTAAGGTTCATCACGTTCGAAAATTTCTACATTTTGTAGTTTTTTTTCCCTTTCTTTTTCAAAGTCTTCCTTTACTTTATAATTTCATTGGTATATATATGATATAGATTAAATTACAAGGACAAATAAAAAACTAATCTAATCTAGTTCAAGTACAGCAATACTGTTCAAATTAGCTAATAATAACTGTATTAAGGTTCATCACGTTCGAAAATTTCTACATTTTGTAGTTTTTTACCATTCTATTTCAAAGTCTTTCTTTGCTTTATAATTTTATTGATCTATATAAAATATAGATTAAATTACAAAGACAAATAATAAAGCTAAATACAAAGCCGAAAAAATACAAAACCAAAATGCAAATTCTAATCACACTGAGAAAAAATTTGGGATATAGTTGCCATCCTTTTTAATGTTTAAATAAAATGAAATTTTCTAAAGAGCAATTTGTCTGTTTATTTTTCACTATTATGGTTTTGTTTAGTAATTTATTCACTTTTTGTTTGTTTTCTTACTAACATCACTTATTGTCCCTTGCATTAGAAGCAATTTAATAAATTCTTTGCAAACACCTTTCACTTAAAAAAATAAGCACATTTTTAGTAAAATATTTGCACTAATTGTTTTTAAACAATTGTTATTTTATAAATTAAATATATCATTTCGAACGATAACTGCAGTTCCTTAAAATTGCATTTAGTTAACCTCAAAACTAAAAATGGTGGCAACTAAACGCTAACACAGAGTATAAAGTCATAGTTCAAATAATGAGAACAAAGCCGAAACAAAATCACGAAATACAAAGCCAAAATGACTAAATACAATCTCAAAGCTATATATTAATAATAACATTAACCCAGGAGGACGCGTGATGCGTGAACGAATATTAAGAAGCACCTTTCTCATAGTTTTTATTCCTAATTTTGGGATTCCAGGTAAAAAAATATTTTTTGAACTTTTAGGTCATGATTCAAACGCATATTAGCAGCACGTCAACTAGCTTCGATCCTTTATAATTGAGTCACCAAATTTTTGATTTTCGTGCATAGTAACGCAACTTCCTCGATATTAATGCACAGTTAGTTGATTTTTGTTATATGTAATGTTAGTTTGTGTGCTTATTAAAGTAAAACTTTCATGAACATTGCAAACAAGTCAAAATTACTTGCCAAGGAACGAAAAATTACGCACAAAACTCGGAAGATACAAGAAATAAAATGATTTGTAGCACGAACTGTGAAAGACGCACGGGGTCATTCTACGACCCTAGTAACTGATTAAAAATCTATTGGGAGGGGGCCATCAGTACCTTGAAATGCAGTATGGACGAATCTTTAGATATCTTGTGTTTCTTATGTTTAATAACTTGAAAAATCATTTTTCTAGTACCTTGAAATGCGGTATGGACGAATCTTTAGATATCTTGTGTCTCTTATGTTTAATAATTTGAAAAATCATTTTTCTAGTACCTTGAAATGCGGTATGGACGAATAATTAGATATCTTGTGTTTCTTATGTTTAATAATTTGAAAAATCATTTTTCTAGTACCTTGAAATGCGGTATGGACGAATCATTAGATATCTGGCGTCTGTTATGTTTCTTCTGCAGATGGTAAGAATGAATATTTGAATTGCATCGAAAGGAAAGAGAAAAAAGTAATGTAATTTTGAATTTAAGGTCTTTTTTAGGTATTCTACATGTCCATTTCTCTTTATGGAGCAGTTTTGGCATTGAGTGCTGTTACAGACTTGTCTTTTGAACTGTCCATTGTGTCCTTGGGAACTGTTTGTGCTTTTTATTGTTCCTTGGTGAGATTGTTTTCTGAATTGATTCATGATTTTCATACATTTTACTTTTCCATTATTGTTTTCTTCTTCATTATTATTCTGAATGAACATTTTTATTTAAAATCGTTACTTATTTATTCTTATTTAATGTAACGAAACCTATCAAAATAATATTTTATAACAAAGTCTATATTAATCTATCAAAAAAGCATGTAAGAACGTGTACTTATTGCACCGAAAGACTGGGGTTCGATCCTCAGAGGAGGGTTGCAGCCTTCTCAGCTTCAGATCAATTGGAGATAACTTGTCAGGTAAGTAAAGGCAGTCTGTCCGTAATGCTGGCCTCATTAATAAAATCATGACGTTGCTCTGAAAATTGTATACTCTTAACCTCCATAAACTCCGTGGCTCTCATCGGGCTGATACTTTATCAGCGCATTCAATATAAGCTATCAATAATTATTACTTTTCCTTAAATGAAAACATGGATAAATAAAATACTCTTTATCACGCTTATCCAATTTTACAGCTATGCAATTGAGGAGTATCTCAATTTTCAGCTCTTAATTACCTGAAAAATATATCTTCATAACACTTTTTAATTTAAAAAAAACTGAAATTTAAGATTCACTGTTCCTTTGTTTTTTAGTCATTGATGTATGAATTAAAGATGAGATTTCGTGCTGTTTTTAAGAACAATAACCACATCTAAAAAAAATCGTTCGTGATAATTGACAGACCAAAAATTGACATTGCTTTGAAGAAATCGCTAAATTCCGGAGCTCTGAATTCACGAACTTCACACGCAGGTCGTCGGGCTACCGAAGTGGGGAGCTCTCCTTTTCTGCTGATGATCAAAATCATGATGGCATATCTTCGGATCATCCTCAGGGATGTTTCCCAGACAGTCGCCAATTGGCCATTGTGCAGCTCTAGTGCGACGTAAATGAGCACAACTAACAGCAACAACAGAATTCTGACAATCGGTATTTGCTATTTATTTAATAGTTCGATATAATAATCTAGAAGTTCTAGCTGGGCTTGTTATAGCATGGTATTTCTAAAGTGTTCATCTTTAATGTGTATGAGAGATACTGATGACATTTTTGTGACGTAACATTCGTTACACTTTAAAACATTATACACATTTAAAACGTAGAGCTATCGTGTCGTGACATTTTGCATGCCTGCTTCGCATAGCTTTTTTATTTTATTTTATACCCAGCGTTTAACAGCCCATCCAATTCTGAGTTTACAACTATTAATGTTTAACTCCATGGCTTCAGAGTTCTTATCCCAGCCTAGAAGATAAGAGAACTCCTAGATCAAACAGTGTAACAAACTAGCTTTCCTGGAAAAAATTTCGATAGAACTAACCCACATTTACGCTGCATGTAGAGGAAAACCACAAAAAAGATGAAGCCCTTGCCACGGTTAGTCCGAATTCAATTGAATTCTAATTATAATTTGTCTACTACTGAGGATATTTTGGGTCAAACCTATGATTGGTGCGAAATGGGAGCAGAAATAGTATCAATCTGCCACTGCTGGGAATCGAAACTGGGTTATCTCATTGGGAGGCGAATGCTCTATCCCATTGGTTCTCAACGGGGGCGATACCGCCTCCCTGGGGGCGGTGGGACTATGCTGAGGGGCGGTGAACTTGTTTTGGGCAGTAGGGGGGCGTTGGGTATGTTTTGGGCGGAAGGGGGCGTTGAGCATGTTTTGTCATTCAAATTTAATTTTAAAACTTACAAATAAAATTATTAAATAAAGATTAATTTAATGAAAAAAAATTATAATAAAGAAAAAAAAGATTAAATTAATATAATAAATCAAGATTATCCGATACACTATTTGAAACAGCAATAAAACGAACTTACACGACACCTATTCTTCGATCCGAACCAACACAGCTCAGCGCATGAGCCAGTACTTTTTGCCTCTGACTCATTCAAGCCATTTGCTGGAAATAGCAGTACATGCGCTTTCAGTATGAATGTTTGATTGGACCCGTGTTACTTATAATGGTTTTCGTTAGCTTTCTTGCGGTTTTTTTTCCCCAGTTTCGATTAGATCTCATAGTTTATTTGGCCAGGTACTTACGCGAATTAGTTCTTTATAGTATCATAAATTATTTATTAATTTTGAGAAATAGTTTATTTTCTTTCATCGTTTGTATTTTGCTGACACCAACAATGTCGGTTGACAAAAAGAAGTGTCATCAATACAGTGTCACGTACTTGAAGTTGGGATTTGTTCAATTACTGTTGAACTCTCAATTACCTATGTGTTTACTTTGTAATAAAGTTTTATCTAATGAGGTAAGGAAATCTTACCGTTAGCAAGAGCATTTGCAAAAAACTAGATATAGATTTGTCATTTTTGACGAACGTCTTTTTCCACGTTTCTGAAGGCACCTTCGGTCTCAGGGTTACTAGTAACGTCATCACAAAAATGCGACGATGGTTTGATCGCTTCTTATAATATATCAAAATTTA